AGAAAAAAAAAAGGGGGGGGGGGAGGGGGGGTGGTAATTTATTTGTTTCGTATCAATACTTTTTTATGAGATGTGCCCAATTTTGTTTTCTCAAGTGATTACGGGATTTAAAATACGGTGAGCAAGGTTAACTAAGTAAATTCTTTTAGGAACACCTCAGACTGAATGGGTTTTTTTTTTTGGTTTTTTTTGTTTTGTTTTGTTTTTTTTGGTTTTTAACAAAATAATTTTAGTAGGTGAACGGCTTGAATTTCTCAGCAGCAAAAGGAATGAAATGAAAATACTGTAGCATGACGTCATCACGAATAAACCTTCTCAAGTTATGTAGGTAATGGATGTAGCGTTGTGTTCAATAGGCACCCAAAATAAAATTCCCAGAAGTTAGCACCCGTTGGGATTCTTATAAAGTTCTTTACTTGAATCAGGGGTGGACTGGGCCGCCGGGACACCGGGAAGATTCCCGATGGGCCGCTAGGACCGGTGATATAATAAAAATAAAAGTAATGAAGATAGGGCCGGTTTTTGTTTTTTTTCCCGGGCCACTTGAACTCCCCAGTCCACCCCTGGCGGGCCACTTGAACTCCCCAGTCCACCCTGGCGGGCCGCTTGAACTCCCCAGTCCACCCCTGGCAGGCCGCTTGAACTCCCCAGTCCACCCCTGGCGGGCCGCTTGAACTCCCCAGTCCACCCCTGGCGGGCCACTTGAACTCCCCAGTCCACCCCTGGCGGGCCGCTTGAACTCCCCAGTCCACCCGTGGCGGGCCGCTTGAACTCCTCAGTCCTCCCCTGGCGGGCCGCTTGAACTCCCCAGTCCACCCCTGGCGGGCCGCTTGAACTCCCCAGTCCACCCCTGGCGGGCCGCTTCAACTCCCCAGTCCACCCCTGACTTAAATGCATGTTTTGTCAAGTAGCTTTAGGTGGATGGGAAGTTCACGCACTGCCGCTGTCATGGTATACCATATTTCTAGTAAATAATAAAATATTTTATTCACAAAAAAAATATATATATTTTTTAACCATTACTTGATTTACAAATTAAGTGAGTGTTGTTGGATAGTTTGTCAGCATCTATGAATCAAATTTCTCTAGTTCCTGCTGACCACAGACATCTAAAATTAATTATTAAAACAGTCTGTGGACACAATGTCGTTTTACTCTGAGTTTCGCTGGTGTTGATATTCGGATTTCGAAATGTTATCTAAATTTAAAACTGATTCTGTTTGGAATTTTAATGTGAATGCAGGAAGATTTAAATCGAATTTTAAATTGATATAGTATTAAGAAAAGTTCCATCCACGAATTAAAAAAAAAAACCGAAGCATTCTATCACAGCGAATGCTCTATCACAGCGAATGTTCTATCACAACGGTTGTTCTATAACAGCTTTTGTTCTATCACAGCGTTTGTCAGATACATAACTATCTGGTCCCACGTACATGGCTATCTGGTCCCACGTACATGACTATCTAGTCCCACGTACATGACTATCTGGTCCCACGTACATGACTATCTGGTCCCACGTACATGACTATCTGGTCCCACGTACATGATTATCTGGTCCCACGTACATGACTATCTGGTTCCACGTACATGATTGTCCAGTCCCATATCACATACGTCCAGCCCCATATCACATACGTCCAGCCCATATCACATACGTCCAGCCCATATCACATACGTCCAGTCCCATATCACATACGTCCAGTCCCATATCACATACGTCCAGTCCCATATCACATACGTCCAGTCCCATATCACATACGTCCAGTCCCATATCACATACGTCCAGTCCCATATCACATACGTAACTGTTCCTATCGCATCTGTGTTGCCCCCGGCAAAGCTAAATGAAGTCATGGCCTTATCTGACCTTTCGTGTGTCTTCAGGCAATGTCTGACCTATGAAGACAAGGACACTTGAGGAAGTGAGGAAGTGGGAGGTTTACAATAAAAGGGATGGGGGTGGTGTGGGGGGAGGGGGTAAGAACAGAAACATATAAATAAGGTAGCATCTTATACACCAAGTAGGATTATGACAACATAAGATGGAGATGATGTACACGAGTATATTCATGGTGATTAGATTACACGTATGATTATATGTATTTAGTGATTCTAAGCACGTACTGCCACACAAACACAAGAACACAATGGCCACCATAGGAGCAGTCCGGGTGCTTCTTCTTCTTCTTTTTTTTTTTAAATTCTGTCCTTCCTAGTTGACCAGTCATGTTCCCCCCCCTCCTAATCTATATCTAACTACAACAGTTAGGTTCAGCTGATTTCACCATATTCCAGGCGACTTAACTTCAACCATAGAACTAGAGTCTTGTCGCCAAGTTTTCAGGGATATTTTCTTGAATCCGGAAGGGATCCCAAGGGAAGGAGAGTTGCGTAATATTTCTGATATTGGATTTCTCATCCCATCCATCGACGTTTTCTTATCTTTGTTATTTCCATCTTGAATTTTTCGGGTGCGGCATGATGGCAGTAACTACCATTAAAAATAATGACAGTATTAATACAAAGCTATTCAGCGTGATTCAAAGGTTTGGCTGGTGTGGGTGGGGGTTGCGGGGGCGTCTGTTTTTGTCCATGGGTCAACACTAAAGGGTATATGTATCCAGTGGCGTAGGAAAAGGGGGGGGGGCGGTACATTTTTTTCTTTATGTGTAAGGATGGCATTTTCCGCTGGTGATTTTTGTTTGTGAAAGGGGGTGGGGGGGGGGCACTTACCCTAGCTGCGCCTCTGTAAGTATCACAACCACGTACAGTAAGGGGTCGTTCGAAAATTACGTCACACTCAGGGGGGAGGGGGTTGAGAATTTGTAACAATTTGTGATAAGAGGGTAGGGGGGCAA